CTCCTCTGCCCGAAGGATAATTTGAGGCACTGCCTAGTGGGGCCGAAGCCACTCGACGATCCCGCGAACCGACGACCCGTGACGACGACCGACCCGACGACGACCGACCCGACGACGACCCCGTGCACCCCGACGACCCCGTAACCGCGACTGCCCCGCGCTCCCCGCTGCTCCCGCCCCGATGGCACCGCCCACAATTGCGAAGCTCGCCGACGACAACTACGCCGAATGGGTTATCGGCATGGAGGCCCTCCTTGTTCGCAAGGGTCTCTGGGAGGTTACGAGCGCCCCTGCTGATGAAACCCGCCCCTCCGGCTCTGATAACACGAAGGCTGTGCGTGCCTGGCGTGCGAAGATCGCAGAAGCGCGCGCCGAGATTATCTTGAATATTGAGCCCACCCAGTACGCCCACATCCAATCACAAGACGTTCACGAAGTCTGGACCGAGCTCCGCCGTGTCCACCGGGCCCGTGGCTTTGGTACCCGGGTTGCGCACCGGCGCGCTTTCTGGCGCTTGTCTAAGCGCCCGGATCAAACGATGACATCGTGGATTGCTGATGTCCGCCGGGCCGCCTTCCGCCTTGAGGAGATTGACGCATCTATCTCCGATGAAGACCGCGTCCTCGTTCTCACGAATGGCCTCCCCGATTCGTATTCCCAGCTGGTCGTTAATCTCGACTCGACCCCGCCTAGCGAGCTTACTGGATGACTTCCCATAAAGATCTACGGCCATTTTGTCGTCCGTAGATACTGAAAGTGTCCTATCCGCCGAGATGCCGATGCCGATTTGTACTCCGCTTTCGAGGCCGACGTCCGTAGATGCTGCAAGCGCCCAAAATCTAGAAGGGGGGGTCGACCCCCCTTTCTAGACCTAAACGCAGCCGTAGAAGCTCGCTTGAGGTCGTAAACGACTCGAAAGGAAGGTGCCATCATTACAAATTGTGTTGGGATCAATCGCCTACTACATTGGGTGCTGATATAAGGCGCAAAAGAGCACGTGCATAGCATTAGACGCTCTCCGGATATCCCGGCCTGATCATTGAGCGCCCGAGATCTCTGGACAGATTAGAGCTCCGATATATGTCTACGGACACTCCAGAGCCGTAGATCCTTATGGGAAGTCATCCACTAGTGCGACCCCAGAAGCGACGCATTAAGCGCCTGACCCCAGAAGCGACTGACACGCCTCCAGGTCTCGCATTTCCCTGTCAATAAATGTACAAACGCTACAAATAAAACTATGTGCTTCTGTACTATCACTCCCAAAAAGAACGAAGGAAATCTGGAGGAATTTGCTCCCGATAAACGTCAATCTGGGTAGGGTTCCAGGGGTTTACTAACCTTGTTGTATTGCCACAAAGAGATCGGCCCTGCCGATCTTCTTGTAACTCCAGGAAGTGTTTTGAACATGTGCACTGAGTATAATTATTCAGTTTCCGAAGGATTACGGATTGCGGTACTTGAGGAATGGGAAGGGGGTCTCTCGAGCGTGACATTCAGCCACTGACCGAGATAAGGCTGACTTTGATTATGAGCGCCTCGACTAGTGTTCCCTCCGCCAACGTCGTTATCAGACGACTGATAATGGCGGTTGTTTAAATCGGCAGTCTTCGGCACCGTGACCATTGGTGACAATCTGTGGGCGGCCTTTCCGTCGTTTCTGGGGTCAGACGTGTAATTCCACG